CATTGCTAAAAATCCAATTCATGGTCTTGCACACACTAGGAAACTATTCCATCTCTGAGATAACCTTTCAGCCCCACATACTCTGTTGTTTTTACTCACTGTTGAATATGCTAGGATATAGAGCAAGGGATATATCTCGAGAGTTGGCTGTAGGCCTGGTGTGGTGGTGAATGCCTGTAATCCCAGCAACTGTGGAGAGCAGTGATTTGAATCCTGGTCTGACTTCCTCGTGGCTGCATTTGCACTGGGAACTGCCTGTGCAAAAGTGCAGTCAAGATGGCCCAGTTGCTATGGTGGCACCAGCCAGAGGAAACTCTATGTAAAAGCTCAGAGTTATTAGTTGGGACCTTGAGTTTAGGTACCAACTCCCAGGGATAAAGAATTCTGAGCATAACAAGATGACTCTTATGTCTCCTCAGTCCTACGTCCTTCAGATTGCCTGCTTTGTTGAAACTTTCCCACAAATAACCTTTTGATGAAACCTACATAATATGTGCTGAGCTAGCTCTGACTCACTGCTTCTCCATCAGAGAGCAGTGTCTCACCTGGCCCCACCTTTTTCTCTCTATGTGTGTGTGTTTATCTTTTTTTCATCCCCCATCTTCCCTCATCTGGTATTTCCTTAATTAATGGCCACTGGCTGAGAGAGATAAGAGGGCCACAGGAAGGCAACTCAGGAGGCTGAGGCAGAAGGATTACAGGTTCGAGGCCAGGCTCAACTGAAAGAGACCCTAAACAACTTAGCAAGACCCTGTCTGAAAATAAAAAATAAAATTTATAAAGGAAGGAGGATGTGGCTCAAAAGTTAAGTGCTCCTGTGTTAAATCCTTTGTTTTAGTCAGCTTTTTTTTTTTTTTTCCCCTACTGTGACTAAAATACCTGACCAGAATAATTGTAGAAGAGAAAAAGCTTCTTAGGGGGCTCACGGTTTTAGAGGTCTCAGTCCATAGACAGCTAGCTCCATTCCACTGAGTTTAAGGTGAAGCTGAGCATCATGAGCATCATGGAGTCAACCGTTAACTTTGATTATAACTGGATGTTTCAAACTATCATACTGATTAAAAATGAATGGAGTACTTGATGTAGTTGGGGATACTTTGCATATTTCAACAGAAAGTAGAAATATGTTTGATGGTAGATAATAGAATGCTGAGATTTATTCTTCATAACAAGATCATCATTATTTTGTTGTGTGGTAAAGGGAAGCAGCTCACATGATAAACAGACAGCAGAGACTCCACTTGCCAAATACAAATATATACCCCAAAGCCACACCCCCAATTCCCCACCTCCTCCAGCTACACCCCACCTGCCTCCAGTTACCACCCAGTTAATCCCATTAGGGATTAATTCACTGATTAGTTTAAGGCTCTCCCAGCCCAATTGTTTCTTCTCTGAACCCTCTCACATTGTCTCTCACATTGGCGACACCTCACATCCAAACCATAATATCTCTGGTAGAAAGAAAGGAAGGAAGGAAGAAATTATTTTGGAGGCTTAAAGTTTAAATAATGACAGAAAGTATATTGTATTCTTTAGAAAGACCATTAAGAATTTTCAAATGATAACGTTGGGGTCTTGATACTCATTTTTTTTTCCAGGATGCTACTGGATTCAAAGCGTCCCTTATAGTCTCATTCAAAATATCAGTTCAGAACATCTTCTTTCTTACCAGTAAACACACAATTTTTACAAAAGCTTCTAGTGTATAAAGATACTTGGCAATTCTTTATAATGTGTTGGTAATAAAGACTCTCAGTATTTATATGATGGTAGAGTTTCATTCTAGATCCTATTCATTTTAAATTTCTGATAGCCCTTCTTTATTTAAAAAAATTGCAGTTGTAGATGGACATCATGCCTTTTATTTATTTATTTATTTTTATGTGAGGGTAAGGATTGAATTCAGTGCCTTGCGCATGCAGAACAAGTGCTCTGCCACTGAGCTATAGCCCCAGCCCCTAGCCCTTCCTTATAGATTGCAACTATTTTCAATTCTGCTCTCAAATGTAAGTCAACTGTTAACTTTGATTATAACTGGATGTTTCAAATTATCATACTGATTACAAATGAATGGAGTACCTGATGTAGTTGGGGATACTTTACATATTTCAACAGAAAGTAGAAATATGTTTGATGGTAGATAATAGATGCTGAGATTTATTCCTAATAACAAGACTATCATTATTTTATTATTTTAAAGATATGCACAGTATTCAGTAGTTTCTTGTCAAGATTTGAACTTTTTATGGTACAACTGGAAAATAGTTGTATATGACATTGAACTTACTCTTTTTAAGTGTAAAGGCATTGGGTTAAAAAAAAAAAAAAGCACTATTCTCTGCTGGGAGCCATTAGCCAAGTAGGTATGACAATTTCCTTGCCAGCGTACCCCATGTTGCAGTGACATTGAATGTAGGTGACCTTGCTCAAGGACCAAGGCGGATTAGGGCGTTCCCAGTTTAGGTTCCAGGTTTAAGGTTTAAGATTATTCCTGCTGGGAATAGGGCGTATCCTGCTGCCTGAGTTCCCCTTGAGTTCTCACGGGATTCAGACAGTATATTTTGGAGATAGAAGCCCAGCGGAGGTGGATTTGGGCAGAGAACGTGGATTTCCCCAGAACATGATTGTAGACGGCTGGTGTGAGTTCGGGAATAAAGAGTTGCTGTTTGAATCTACAAGCTGTGTGGTGGCTCGTGATTGTGTGCCCAGCCAGACTGCGGCATTTGTGCCCAGCCAGACTGTGGCAATTCTCTTTCCATGATGTTATCTTGAAAGGTCACAAAATTACTCCTATCATGTCACAGACCAAATATTTTTCAGTGATCCGTCATCTTACCCTGGACACCAATACATCTTAGGTGAGTCCCTTTCCCTCTCAGGATGTTTCTGGTGTTGTCATCTACAATCCATGGCTTGGCCATGGCTGTAAGGTTTGGCATTTGGCTAATTGGAAGTAGTCACTACATATGTTAAAACACCTTTAGAAGATTTCCATTTTCTGCTATTTAAGATAGGTTGCTTTTTGTGATTGTTTCTTTCTTGTCCTACACTAAATGATGTTTGTGTTTGAAATTTGTAAAAACACTATAAGGTTTTTTCTCACCCAAAATCACCCTTCAGAATTCACCAAGTGAGCCTCACATGGTTGGGAAAGTCAACTCTGCAGCATCTCTTGGTGACCCTAAAGTACCTTTTCCAGAGGAAAAAACTGGCATATCACCTGCTGCCTGGGTTGGCAGTCAGAGCCTGGAGGATTGGGCAAGGGCTTGGGCGGGGACAACTGATGCCTTCTCCATGAGTCGTGATCCAGCCTCGACAACCCAGACCTCCATCGGGGACTCTCTGACTCACATCTTGGGAAAACATCAGGAGAAAGCACTTGGCCAAACTGAGCAGAATAGCTTCCTTCTGTTTACCTGCTTTCCGTGGAACATATTTCTTTTTCAAACATAAGAGTGCAAAGGAATTCAAATACCACTGTAAAATACCATCATTAAAAAGTTTTATCATTGTAGGGAAAAAAACTCTAATGTTCAAATAAGATAGGATCTTGGGTTATTTATTACATTTTATTAAAGACTGTTAACAGAAGAATAAGTTCTTTATTTTTTTTCTTCCAAACTTCATACCTATTTATTTACTTGGGTCACTAAGAGCTCTCTCTAAGAGAAAATTCTGTAACAATAATGAAACACAATGTTTAACATATGCCAGGCACTGTTTTCCACACTTTTACATTTTTTGGTTATTTACTTCTCATAACAGCTCTGTTAAAGGCAGGTGCTATTATCCCCATTGTATCTATGAGGACACTGAGGCTTGAATAATGTGTTCAAGTCATACAGCTAGTATATGGCAGTCAGGCTTTAAACCTCAGCATGGGGTCCATAAGCTGTAATGCCATCATGCCACCCTCAGGTGGTTACTAACCAGGAGAAAGAAAAATCCGTCCCTTTCTATAGACGACAGTCTTCTCATTCTCTTGTTACAGTCAAGTGAAGTCTTAATTCTCCAAGTTCAAATGAAGAATTTTAAAAATACACAGAGCCCAAACACATTTACTTTTTTTTCTATCAATAAATATTTATTGAATTAAACAAAATATTTATACATCACTTTTAACAATTTTCTTTTTCCAAAATACTCATTTTGATAGAAAAAAATATTGTCAAAGGTATTATTTTTAAGAAAAACTGAATATAGAAAATGGACAGCAAAAGATCAAAATGCATCTCCTGTCACTTGATTTTGTGACCACACAATACTATTTTGGGAGCACAAACATTGACACTGTATTCAGCAAATATATTTCTTTTTCTTTAAATGATCCAGTACATTTTTTAAAATGCCATCTTGATAACTCTATAACTTTTTTTTTTACAAATGCCTATTTATAGACATTACTTGTGCCATTTAAAGACAAAATTAGTGAAACTATTTTTATGAAAATTGAAGCAATTGCTAGTATTGTTTTGTATTTCATTATCTACTAGGTTAGATTAATGAATACTTTGTCCTGTCTGGAGTAAACAACAACAACAGAAGTATATAGCAAATATTTAAAAATATAACTTAAACCCTTAGTAGTTAGAAAAGTCAATCTTCTCAGTTTACTGTAAGAATTAGGATAATTCGTATAAATACATGATTTACAAATTGTAATATACTCTAACATATTTACTTTTATGATGATTCTAAGCAAAAAAAAATATTTTAGGGTTTATATATTTTTTTTATTTTGAGTTTTATTTATTTATTTATTTGCAGCACTGGGGATAGAACTCAGAGCCTCCCTCATGCTAGGTATATTAGGGTTCAAATGAGTCCAGTTTGTGAGCTGTCTTTTCTTGTGGGAAGAGGCTGGAGGTCTCCACTTATTTTATTTATTCTTATATAA